GGCCTTGGGAATGTGCCACGTGTGCCCCTGCACAGGGCGCAAATTCACCAGGGGCACCAAAACGTGACTGAATGAGTGAAGCAACAATGAATGCCACCGTCAGTTTTACTTCAGAGATTGGAATGCCTTCCGTTTTGGCGTTTTGGACCCTAAGGATTGACCCTTTCCCCATCTGAGGAGGAGGAGGGGGGGGGGGGGGGGGTTGGGAGTCTCTTTGCAAAGGGCGCCGAAATAGCTAGAGCCGGTAGGATTGCCACCTTTAAACTTAAGATTTTATTTACTTAATAAAGCTATTAATAATATCTTGATAATAGCTTAATAATATCTAACATCGTTATTTTCCGTAAATCAAAAGTTGTAGGGCACACTTAGTATCGATTGGCGCCATGGCTTAAGGTGACTGTGGGTATATTTTAAATATTTGTCCGTATTTTGTTAAATTCAAATGTGGCTACCATAAGAGCCGGTGTCGTATGATATTTTTCCCCTCCTCCCTTAATGGAAATGAAGGGAATTCGTTTTAAAAAGTAGAATTGTAAGTTTGTTGATTGCGAAAAGAGAATATAATCTTTATTGTCAGAAACTGATCAAACGAAATAATAGCAGAACATCCTCCTGCAAAGGACGATGTTTCTTCCTGCATTCATGTCAGCTGCCTTCATTTGCCTTTTACCTCCGGGGGCTTGAATCTCTGATGTGGCTTTGAAGATCGCCCTGAGGAGTCAACACTGGCTTAGACGTTAGCGGGGCAGATGGAGGCGTAAAAGGAACACTAAAAGGCACGGAAGAAATAGCCACCGAGGAACGAGGCGAAGTTCCTTCATTTCCATTAATGGGGGGGGGGGGGGGGGGGGGAAAAAACAAGGGGGGGGGGGGGGGGGGGGGGGGGGGGGGGGAAATATCATACGACACCGGCCCTGGCTGCAGGTGCAGCTTATGCAAATTACATTGCATCAGCAACCTACCATGAGGCATGTTTTTTTTTCACGTAGCATTCTCCTCCGATGTTGTGATGCTACTCCCCGAGTTTCACTGAGTAGCGGCTCAAGGTTTTCATGCTTGAGTGCCCTCCACCCGTTATGCGACTTCAACCTGTCCGTCAGCGCCATCTTCCGTAGAACTCCTGGATGAACTAAACTACCTTTAATGTTGTCCATATTATTTCTATTGCGCATCAATGGACGTGAGGGAATTCTTTCTCTCATGAAAGTTACATTGAACCCTGTTAGTGGTGGAACAATTCATTTGCAAGTCCTTCTACTATTATGTAGAAAGAGAAATCGAACGTGCGCGAAGAGATGCAGATGGCGTTAGTGAGGGAACTCCTTCAATCTAGGCCATGATCCAAACTGGGTATATATCAGTTGATTCTTACTTATTTCTGGTGAATTCGACAACGAAGTGTCAATATGTCGAGCTCAGTTTAAAGACATGGTAGGTCTTTGCCAGGGTAGCACCTAGCATTGCCCAAGTTATGGTTGGCCTAACGTATGTTTAAACTAAGTGGGATCCAGGCATTTGATGCACTTTTCTTTTGTGAAACATGAAAATGGAGACTCATGGGACTGAAGGGCATTATACTTAGTGACAAATATATTGGTTTAACCACTCAGAGATGTGCATCCATGGGTTGGTGTAGTAGTTGATCACACCAAGGTGAGAATAATTATGGGTCCAATATCATCACCTATAAGGAACATCGCACGAGGGGAATGCCAGCCATGAGTGGACGCTGTCATGGAAGAAATTTCTGAGCATTTGGAAAATTTATTGCACAAGCAACCATTCCAATGTATGTGATGTCTAACATGGACAGCTAATGGACTGGCCATATTTACAACTTTGTCTTATGATTCATTGATACTACTGATATCAGGATCACAGCCATCTGTTTTCCCTACTTTCTTTTATGACATCAGATAATTTTCTTCACTTTATACTTGACATTCAGCTATTTATGCTTCATGATTCATCCTTCAGGAGAAACAGACTTAACTGAACCCAGTATGATATGAACTTTCTTATTTGGTATTAAATTTGCTAACTTTGAAAATAGCAATTGTTTTCTCACTTCCTTCATCTAAATATACTGTTCTTCCTTATTGGGATTTGTTTTCCTTGACCTGTTGATAGATGCCTCCTGACATGAAACTGTACCATAGAAAAATGAATACAGGGTGACTCAAAATTTAATAATGGATCTTACACCTCTATAAATTAAACGTTTTTTAGAAGTTAAGGTGATGCCAAGTACAGGTATGTCAGATGGACTAGTTTGTTGCATGAGCCTTCAGGATCAGTGAAGAACTTCAACATGTTTGCCTTTATTTTTAATGCAGGTCTCAAATTTCAACTTATTAGTTGTGCTGGCATAATTTGGGATGTAACAGATGGGAATGTCCTTGATGGTGTCCTGATGTGTTTCTCCAAATCTTGAACATTTCTGGGTTTTGCCACATAAATCTAGAATCCCTCATCACTCTATAGTTAAAAGCTCAATGGCATGGGGTCCAGAGAACTTACTGGCAAAGTGGTTCAACTGCTTCAACTCCATCTCCAAAAAAGCATTTCTAAGTAAAAAAAATTGTCAATTTAAATTATTAAATTTTTTTAAATAGTCAACCCTATAGAAAACACCACTGCTGGTCATCACCAACTTTGGTGCTATAATGTGAGTGGTGCTACATTGAAAGAACCACACTGCCAATGACTAATTTATTAAAATCTTTGAAGCAAAAATTAACCATATGGATGTGAAACTTATATTGCTGTTCTTAGCCTCTCTGATACTCTGCACTTGCCCTATCTACAGTACTATCCATTCCACTGGTAGGAGTCACCTCTCTTGGTAACAACAAATATTTAGCTGTGTTCAATACTGGATAAAGATTACTGCAGGTATAATACTTGGCACCAGGTCAAGGAAGCTTTATGTGGAAAAAAGCATGTTCAATTAATGGTGTTGATGGATGTTGGCTTGCAAGGGTGGCTCATGATAGGCAATCCCCTATAATAGGGGTTTGCCTATTATGTGCTTATGGAAAAGAATTGTTCTTAAGAAAGAGTTGTGAATGAGTGAGGATGTGTGGGCAATGAGTGGGGGTATTCCAAGCTGTGTTATATTGAAGGTTGACAAAATCTATTATTGATGAAAGTATGACAAATAGAATTAAAATATAAAAATAGTGCAGGGTGATGATTTCATAAGTTAACAATGAATGGCCATGTACAACACAAACCAATGAACAGAGGAAGCTGAAACTTGGTATATAAACTACTGGTAGCATGGGTTCTAAGAATGTGAGAAACAAGCTTAAGAAATACCATCTGAAACTCTATGGCCTCCTCTCCTCAGCATATTGAAGAAAGATTTTTTCAAAATTTGTTATCCCAATGCTGTTAATGAACATGGACCTTGGCACATGTGTCTTCAATGGTATAACCTCAAGACAGGCCCTGCATTCCTTCTATTAAAAAAAACTACTATATCAGTTCAGTTCTTGTAGCGAGCACCAACATGTTGACTTTCTGCTGTCCATGGTCACACTCAGACCTTTTTTACTCTTTGTGAGCCATGTGACATGTAAGTTGTGCATTGGTGGTACCATCTACTGCCACTCTTTTCTTCACAGACTTGAGAAGCCCATGCAACCAGTAGTTTACAAGTTTCAGCTTCCTCCATCCATTAGTTTGTGCTATACATGGCCATTCATTGGTAAACTTTTTAAATGGGTCACCCTGTATGTAAATATTATAATTGCAAGTGCAAATATAATAGACATTTTAATAATTGTAATACTTTGAAATAAAAAAGACATGAATGGATGGTATTGGTCCTGTGGGCCATGGGGATGCTAAATTTCAACCTAATATCAACATTTGAATTAAATAGGTTAAATGACCTATTATGGTGGTATTATTTATGCAGATAACCCAATGCTATCAGTTCAATATTATGCATTATGATGCTAATAAATATTCTATAACCTCTTAACCTTTAAGTGGGGAATTTCTCTTGACGGAAGTCTACTACCATAGAGAACTTTTTTTGTGAAAGTAACTATTAGTATTTATACAGAAATTTCCTACTCTTTTTCAAGTTTATACTCCTTATTTTGAGTTTATATTTAATTCAAACTTGAAAAATAACACAGCATATAAAAATGTCAAGCTTATTTGGGGTGGGTTTCATCATGACAGGTATACACTGCATTTCCAAAAGTATTGGGACAGAGGACAATATGACAAGCTACTATCATTCCATGTTCAAACTCCGTCAGTTCAAACTCTGTCAGCTCCAATCATTGGCAAACACTGACTGTAACAGATTCCAGACAACCGTTATATACTTTTGGACTACAATAATACCCTCCACCACTTGAACTTTGGGACAATCTATTATCGGTGGAGGGAGGCTTGTCCCAGTACTTTTGGCAATGTAGTGTGCATGTCATACCCAATTGAATGGCAGCATAAAGGCTTCATATTAAATGAGTCCCCTTCTAGTTAAGCCCCCTTGATAATGTTAGCAAAAGTGTGGAGTCAACTTGTCTGCCAGCATAAGCTACTACCCATTTTTAAATTTTAACTTATGAACTATTGAAAAATTGTTGGTAGCATTGGTTCAGCTGAAAATTGTAAAATTAAATTTGAATATCTGTTAAAATCATCTGTGTGTGCATAATGGAAAGTTTGGGAAAATAGCTTCAGTGGAAGTGGAGATATATAGACATTGCTGGTTTAATTTTTTTTGCCATACCCTGTAGAAGACAAGGACGAAGGGTCCAATTTTGAATATTTTCTTATGTAAGATTACCCAGATTTTGCTATGTATTCAGCTGCACCCTTATTTATAACCTTATAGCAGGTGAATTGTCAGAAGACCGTCCAAAGCTGAAGGCACCATGACTTGTTCCCAGCCAATGTAGTTTGCATCTTAGCCTAACTATAAGTTTATTCTTGGGAGTTATTCTTTTTTTTTCATCTTTTTAGGTTTTAGCATGAATGAAGAAGAGCAAAAATGGGAGTGTGAGTACTGTACATACAAGAATTGGCCATCTTCAGTCAAATGTGTCATGTGCTATGGTTTAAAAGCAGCTGCATTGATAAAATCAGATGGACTCACAACTGATATCTACCAGCTCTCTAATAAGATTTCCAAGCTGACAACTGCAGCTGCTGACTCTCGTAATGGGAGAGATCTGGCACATTCCATCCTAGCAAGTGAGAATATAAATAGATCTTCATCGCCTGTTGAGCCTCTGGTGAAATGGAACTGTTCTTCTTGCATGCATTTGAACTGGCCAAAAACTATACGTTGTGTTCAGTGTCACACAGTCCGTCCAAAGTACTCTGCAAGTGCCACCAATGATGATAAAGTCACTCACCACCCTTCATACTGCACCAAAAAGTGGACTTGCATAGCTTGCACATATGAGAACTGGCCCAAGGCAACTAAGTGTGTTCTTTGTTTTGTGCCTCGTCCACCAACTACACAAGGAAATAGGGCAACTTCTAGTCCATCTCGTGAAGGGAATTTTGAAGAAGAAACCAATCAAAATTCCACAGTGGAATCCTCTGGGTCTCAGGGAGGAAGCAAGAAAGTATTGAGAGCTCCTGCCATACATGACAATGAGAACATAATTGGAGCATCTGCTTTTCCGCTCAGCAGCAACAACTATGAAAATGTATGTCACATTGAAAACCAGAATGTGTTTGTTCCCCCTCTCTTCTTGCTTAAAAATGTTGTATTGCAAATTGAATAATTAGGAACAGCGACTTCGTCTGGCACGTCGCCGGCGTCGAGAAGTAGATTGGAGATGGCTGAATGCTTGTGTTGGAGTAGTTGAAGGAAGTTGGGCCCCTGTGGAAGCATATCTTGCTGCTGGGGGAAATCCAACTCGCCAGCTGAGTGCATCTGATGTAGCTCTCCTGAACAGACCATCTGCATTTGATGTTGGCCACACTCTTGTCCATCTTGCTATCCGGTGAGTATGCCTCGTAATTGCCTCATAAAAGAGGCAATTGGCCCTTAAGGTTAGCCTTTTTTAGTAATAAATTATCTGGTACAGCTCTGAAAGCATACCAGTATTTAATAATAATTCTTCCCCAACCAACCCCATCCTAATTAGTTAATCCACTATATCTAAGGGTATATATAAAGCTGAAGAAACCTTGCAATAGGGACAGTGATGTGGGAATGAAATCTACTTTGGAATCAGGATAGATTGTGTAACATCCAGACCTAACTTGGTGAAATTTGGATTTGAAAGGTCACAAGAAGTTAATATGAAGGAGGTGGTGTTTAAGTCTATCTCTTACCCTAGGAGAGACAGGATCACCAACCTATTTTCTGTGATACAGTAAGTTTGGAACCTTTTCCTAATTTTTCTCTCAGAATATTTTCAAGTTCATTAGGTATGGTAACTTGGAACATGTCTGCCACATTTGCAGTGCAGTAACCAAAATGGAATGATTCCTAAGTTGCATAAAGTTTTTTCTGGCAATCTTTTGCAACCTACAACATGTCAGACAGAAATTGAAGGTGTCAGTTGAACTGTCTACATACAAACCCTTTTTCTTTATTGCATTATCTTGGATAGCCATTTATAAGGTGCAAGATTCCTCAATATTTTTTTGTCTCTCTACCCTTCAGGTTCAAGCGTGAAGATCTCCTCACATCCCTTCTCTCTCAAATTGAAGGCAACAGTTCAGGCTTGAAACGGATGCCATCATATGTTGCCCCTGATTTGGCTAGAGATATTCGTCGTCATGTTGTTTCAGCTCTGCGTCACCGGAAAAGCAACTTCCCTTGTTACTATTTCTCAGAAATATCCACATTCAGTCTCCCCTCTGGTGAGTGTAGTTATTACTTTTTTCAATCAATAGATTTATCTTAAACATGAGAAGTGGCCAAATGAAAGTCTTTCCCTCTTTGTAATTAGCCAGGTGATTCTGTATATGTTAACTTGACTAGAGCTCTCATTTTCTGCATCTTCTCTCATCAGACTTGGAGACGTTTCCAAGCCCAGTGCAAGAGCAGCTCTGGAATGAACTTCTAGATCGAGATGCCCTTGGTCAACTTGAGTCTGCTTCCTCTGATATGGAAAGTCCAGTCATAAATTGGTGCCCAGAGCTTGTTCAGGGTGGATGTCGCCTGTATGCTCTATGGAATCGCTCAGCCGGTGATTGCCTTCTTGACTCAGCACTTCAGGCCTGCTGGGGAGTCTGTGATAGGGATAACACGCTTCGAAGGGCCTTGGCTGAGTCCCTTTCTGAAGCCTCATCTGTGTAAGTAATATTCATTGCACATTGTATTGAGTAAGAGAGTCTGTGTACGTCTCCATTTATTCTGTTTGAAATGTGGATTTTCTAATTGTCTCTCAGCTTCTACCCACGATGGCAAGAGTATGAATCCATGCAAGCCAGTCTGATGGGATTCTCCTTGACAGCTCGCCAGCTTGCAGCAGATTGGGCCATTATGCTCAATATTGCTTCACAACCAGGAACACCATTGGAACAGATACATATCTTTGTTCTTACTCATATTCTTCGACGCCCCATCATTGTCTATGGTGTCAAGTATGTAAAGAGCTTCCGTGGTGAAGCACTTGGCTTGGCAAGATTCGAAGGTGAACCTTTTTTGGGTTATCCACTTAGTCTTATGTATCTGCAGTGCCTGTTATGGAGCACAAGTATTAATACTGGTTTTGTCAACATTTATCATATTGACAGTGGCTCATCCCTTTCATTCTCTTTCATAGTACCTTTACCCATTTGCTAATGATCAAGCATGCAAAATTTGAGCAGATGCAATTGGAGCAACAGCTCTATTCAGGTTGATTGATCTCTATCATTGAGGAATGTATTGCTTCACAGAATTCTGCAAACATCACATTTTATTGGTTGTTGGGCTGGTTGAAGATTGAATTTCAAGCTGTGATTGAGCTTACACTGGAACTGGAAGAATAAAACTGAAATATAAATCAATCCAGTTTTTTATTGTGTATATGAAGGGATGTCCAAAGTGTTAGTCTTTCCTCCCTACTTCCAGGTGTGTATCTGCCTTTGCTGTGGGAGCCATCATTCTGCTGCAAATCCCCCATCACATTGGGCTATACAAGGGGACATTTCTCAGCTTTGGTCCCCACATCTCAGGAAGATGGAACTTGTTTGGATTATTCAGTTCCTTTAGTCTCAAGTGATGGGAAGCTCTTGCCAGTGCACTACATCACACATGCTGAGGTACTTACATGATCTTTCTTTATTTGACCTTTTTTTAAAGTGCATTTACTTGAATGGGAAAAGGATAAGTAGCTTTTGTGTGACACGTAATTGTTGGGCAAGAAGTAAACTTTTGTCATGGAAAATAAGGGACCATTGTGTTGGTGTTGACGATGGTGATGACACTTGATTAAACTTGGTTGTACCTTTCTGTCACCAGAAAAACCCAGTCTATTTGCTGCCAAAAACAGGGTTTGGATTCCTGAAATGTGCCTTTGTGAATCGGCGCTGCAAAACTTTGGGGTGGACTTTGGAAAGTTATCAGTGAGGAACGAGAAATTGTATATCCCTGTGCTCCGTAAAGCTCTGGTACTGTGGAAAGCAAGGTGCAGGGCTATTCTTCAGAATCAAGGATGCAAAATGGATTATGATAGTTCCTGAAAGAAGTAGTAAAAAGGTGTAATATTCTGAATCAAAAATGGTCAAATAAAGCTGGGGCACCCTCCGTATTTTTAAATTTAGTGGTTTTGTATACTGGTATGTTCTCTGGTGACATGGTGTTCATATGTCTTACTTGTGCTTTGTGAGGTTATGAATTACTTTCATCAGGTACCTTCTTACTAGCATGGTAATTGTTATCTTTTAAGTTGGCAAGTGCATCTTTAATGCTTCAATTCTTCTTACAGTAAATAGAAATGAGAACTTTGTGTGCATAGAATCCTCATTTTCTGAATAAGTTAAACAATCTTGAATGTTTGCTTCATTTTAGCTTGGAGAAGAGGAACGTATGCTACGTCAGTGGCTTGATGTTTGTGTACTTGATGGTGGCATTGCAGTTGCCAGACAGTCCTTCCCTCGGCAGCATTTGTTAGTAGCCCAGATGCTTGATGAGTGGCTCAACCACTACCGGAAGTTAAGGTATGGAACTTGGAGTCACCATATCCTTCTTTATCCTCTCAGATTTCTTTGGGTTACTGATGCTCAATTTCCCATGCAGTAAAAAATATTTAAGAGAGCCATGAAGTTGTTTTTAGCCCATATTCTTACTAATTTTCTAGCTGCCAATATCTTGCAAATGCCATGTTCTTTTAAAGAGTGGAAAGAATCCTTCCTTCATTCAAGGAATAAAGCTGAAAGGGTCTATTCATTAAACAAGGAGTAGTACAACTTGATGCTTAAACTCTCTACAGAGTAGGGACACTAGGGAGTATTGCCTTGAGTATTGCCACTCTTTGTTTAATGAACAAGCTCATTCTCTTCTTGATCCCCCTGGAATAATTTAATGGCTTGGTAAGCAAGTAGCTTGGAGATATGTACCATGCTGAAATGTTACTGATTGCATTCACTGACACCTTGTATAGCTCAATATTTTGTACTAGTGAGTTTGTTTGCCCTTTGGGCAAACAAACTTGCTATGGTCGCGCGCCTTCGGTGCTCCATAACCTTGGATAGTGATTAATTGATTTATTCTTTGCGAAATGGCAAACATGTATTTAAAGTACGTTCCCATTGAAATACTTCACATATGGGGACGAAAGTCTTGATTTTTATCAAAATCATTACTTCTAAGATTTCTAGTGTGCCTAACTTGAAATATTTTCTTCTGTCCCTTTTTGTATTTGTCCCTTTTTGTTGAGATTTAGAATACATTTCGAAATACTTCCCTCCTATAATCTATGCTAAGGGGACACATTTGAAAAGTAGGATTTTTCCTGTACTCAGTCATCAAACAGGTATTCTGAGGGAAGTTTAAATTTTCTGTCTCTGTTTCACTGGATCAAAAAAAAATTCTGGAAAATGGGACTGAAAAATAAGTTCCCTGATGGGTTTTAACGAAAATTTTTTTCTTCTGAAATGTAGACTCAGGGAACTCCATGTCACCCAGTTTCAGCCTTATACGTTTCCTCTTTTTGCTGGCGGGAAAAAATGTATTTGGAGAAGCGACCCACCCAATTGCTGTGCTCTGAAGAGACGCATAACAAAAGTTGAATTTTTCCTTAAATCAACATCACGTCCGTTATGCGTGCGCTAGCTACTACTTTTCTATTTCTGCCCAATTCGCTAGGATATGATAAATTCTTTGAAAACATAACATCTCCAAGAAATATGCCCCCCAAAAGTATTTTGGAAATTTGACATTTGAGCTCAGTGCATCAGCAGTCACATTCCTGCTTTCCATGTGTCTCTGTTTGATTGAAGTAAAGAGAACTATTTGAAAATATGTTCCCTGAAAAGGTGTGCCCCTATGGCATGTATCACCAAAGTAGAATTTTTCCTGAACTCAGCATGCAAATAGCTACTTATGTCAGTCACTCAGCTACTCATGATCGTCTATATATAATAAAAGTATAATTTTTTCTTTACTCAGCTTTCCATTAGGTACTTCTTTGCCATGTTTAAACTTTCTAGTGCATTTTGTTTTGCTGGATCAGAAAATTTGGGAAAATACGCCTTTTGCAAAATATGTGCCCTGAGCTGTTTTAACCGAAAGTACCTTTTTTTTTTTTTTTTTTTACCAAAATCCATACTCAGTGAACTACATGCCCACAAAGTTTCAATATTATATGTTTGTCCTTTTTGCTGGTGTAAAAAACATGTTTGGAATAGCCAACCCACATAGCTATGCCCAGAGGGGATGCACCATGAAAGCTGAATACTCCCTCAACTCAATATCATGTCACTTATATGTGTGCCAAGTTTCACCTTTCCATTTATGTCTAATTCGCCACGACAATTTTTTTTTTTCAAAACATCGCCCCTCAATAAAATTCCCCCAGGGGATGTATCGAGACTTAACATTTTTATTTAACTCCTTCTCTCAGTAGTCACATTCATGCAAAGTTTCAGCTTTCCACGTTCATCAGTTTAACTGATGTAAAAAAATTATTTGAAAACATCTCCCTTTGAAATTTGTGCCCCTGGGACATTTACTTCCAAAGTCTGAATTTTTCTGCAGCATCCCAATAGGTAGTTATGTACCAAGTTTCATCTTTCCACACTAGCTCAATACGCCAGGACAAAAAATACTTGAAAACGTCGGCCCCAAAAAATATCCCCCAGGGCATGGATCTAAAATTTTGCATTTTCCCTGAACTCATTGTCTCGGTAGGCACGTCCATGCCAGGTTTTAGCTTTCCGTGTCTCTCCGTTTTACTCAAGCAAAAAGAATGTTATGGAGGGGGAATGAGTAACGGGACATGGAAGGCAAAAGAAGCCGAAAGAAATCCATGGAATGGCCGGGAATTGAAACCATACCTCCTGACTGCTGGTCAGTTGTGCTCCCACTACACCACTGAACCTGGGACATCCAGTAGACCCTTTGAATCCTATCCTCATACATCACAATGGTAGTAATGTAGTAGTAGGTAATGACCTACTGGCTCTTCTGGAAATGAAGACTCCTAATTTGCTTCGCTGCTTAAATATTTAATGCAATTAATTTCTTAACACATCGTACTTCATATTTATTCACTTGGATTTTTGATAAGCTCATGATAGATATGGGTCCTTGTGTGATCTACCTTCTGCCTTGGTAGATTACACAAGGACCCACAACTACTAATTTATTGTTTAATATGAGCTGGAGTTTCTTTATTCATGTTTAGAATGACCTCAAGCCTCAAAACTAAAAAAAAAACTCATCTCCAAGGTCCAATATTGATAGAATCAACCTTATTATCAGTGAGTTATTGGAATCAGGCACCACTGGTTGGTTACCTCCCTTGATCCTAATTTCCTCCTACCTATGAGTTTTTCCAATTAGAGGAAGAGTGACTCCCTTATAATAATAGGTTTTTTTGTGCCTGCTTTTTCCCCTTCAGGGTACCAAGGTGGTTCTTTAGCTTTTCATGATTGTTTTTTTAATGAAAGTTTGAAAGTTGCCAATTACTCCAGCAGGTATGCAGAATCAACATGAGATCCATAAAGGCCTTGAGCAATTTTGTTCTCATTCATTTTGAGCTAAAGATTCCTGCTTGTTAGACATATTTGAAGCTTTGTACCCATTACTACTAAAAAACCCAACAACGGCCACAGTTTTAAATTTTCTTTACAGCTTTCTCAATCTACTTGAGCGAAGGTACATAATCCTGGCCCTGAAATGTGTGAAAGAATTGCAACTTTTGTCTTGAGTGTACTTTTCATCCAACATTTGAAATATACTTCTTTTTTCTTGCAGTCATGTGTGCAAGGCTCCAGTGAGTGTGGGTCATCTGCCTTCACCCTCCAATCTTTACTTGAGTGACAGTGACTCAGCTGATGAATGAATGAATCACCTGCACCACTGTATCTCATCAGCATCTCTTCCCTATCCACATGTTTTTTCTTTACTACATTGGAATTATGAACTGTCAGATTCCTTTGTCATGGTTTGGGTCTGGGCATGTTGCATCCTGGATGTTAGGGCTCATGCCCACCCAAGCATTCATCATTCATTGTAGCTTTTCTAATATGCAATCTGCAGACTTAGAACTTGTGCTCAGTTGCTCCAAAAAATACTGCCTGCATGGCCTTGTAGTGAGTCAACCTAAAATAGTTTCCTAATTATATGAGAGATATCCCATCTTTCAGGATACATTTTACTGAACCTTATTGCAGATAAGGCTTCTATGGTACCATGTCATCATTACCTTTCTAAACCAATTTCTTGGTAAATTCATACAACCTATGCCTATGGGTAAAATTTTTATGGAAAAGAGCAATAATTTAAATTTGTCACCTAGCCATGACATTCCATGTGCCAAATTATTATTTGTTGGTGCAGGTCAGTCTATGTTGCTTTTTTATTTTCCTGAACAAATACAATATGGTACTTTTTTGGATTTTTTTTTCTTTAGCTATCAGGCCATGTAAGGCATTTCATTATGAATCTCATCATTATAGCGACAAAAGCCTCTGAAGTTATTCCTTCATATTGAAAAAATTTTTTTCATTATTCTCTTCCATCCTGTCATAAAAGACTGACATGAAGGGTGAATTAAAGGAATGAATCTCATCTTCCTCACCCTTTGTAGCTAAAATGCTGATTGCCAATACAAGTGAATTACTTCAAAAGTTTACAGATGCCTAGTCTTTTCTAAACTTGCAATTTCATCTTTTGCTTTGAATGTTCCAAGTATGTCAGTGAAGTGTTTTCTTGAAGTGACTGTTCATGAAGTTGGGCTAGTGATTTCATGAATTGGAATGTGGTTTGCTTGCTGATGATTGGTATTTGGAAGGGGTTGTTCACTGCTAATGCACAAGATTCTCATATTGAAACAGTGATGTTTGCTTGTTCAGCTTTTAAATTTTGGTGCTTCTAATGGAAGAGATTTCATTTTCTTTCAGTTCCTTTTTCTTCCATTTTGCCTTGACTGCTTTGTATCCCTTTTTTTTCTAAAGACAACTCATCATACCACCTAAAGGAAGATTCTTTTGCACTTTGTCAAGACTGTGCAGTAATAGATTTATTTACTTATTTACGTGAGAAATTCCATTATATCCTATTCTCTTCTTTGAATCCCTAAGCTAGCCTCCCTTTATTGCAGGTCTGACCATCTAGGCTCTATTGGTTGAGGGAAGAGGGCTTGAAGAATTCCTTGAACTTTTGCAGTTAGTGCTGGAGAGGTAGTTTGTTTGCTCCTTTCATTTTTCCCATGATTGACAAGGTCTTCAGCCTTTCCCCCAAGCTTGCTGCCCTGAAAACGAAGTAATGGCAACAGAAGTGTCGCTGTTGAGCCTATTATTTTTTAAAGGAATTGTTAGAGGACAGAATGTGGAAGAAGCATATAGTGTGTGAACCAAGATACCTTTGGTGTGTGATTCAGAGCAAGCTTTGATACCTTTAGTCCCTTGTATGATGACTTTTTGTCCCCTTATGCCCATTGCTCACATTGGAACCACAACTCTCAACGCACACAAGAGCAAGAAAAAACTTGTCTTTCCTATTGTTTGTGAAATGTGCAGGTGTCTCGTTCAGTGTGACAGTTACCTCACAAAGGGCCATGTGCATTACACTCAGCTGGCATGGGCACATCTTGGTGCTTCACATCTTGGTTCTGTCCTGTTTTGAAAAAGGAAGGTTGGCAGTGGTTGAACATCAGTTGTGATAGATACACCTGAAAAAAAGGAAGTTTGAATCTACACCAGTAGACAATGCTGGATATATGACTCCAGAGAATAATAAACGTTGAATCTTGGTATATCATTTGTAGAATTTTTCCACTTCATCTTTGGAAGTGTGGGCTACAGTGTTCACTTTTTATGTCATGAACGAGTGAGATTAGTGGTTTCTATATGACCTTGAGGCCACATAGAAACCACTGCAGAAACTCCCTCTTTGCAGTGCGCCGATGCGTACCTCTTCAATTTACTAAATGTTCCGAGTTTTTTTCACGTCCTCCCTTATGGCCAATTTGTGATCAAGTCATATCATCGTAATCCAGGATTTAGATGCTTTTGGTTTTAATTAAAAAAAAGTTACTAATGAAGCAATGTCCTGTAATTAATTACTACCTGGTTAAAGTACATATGATAGTTTTTTTAATATAAATAAAAGAAAACCTAGTCAGACGAATGATTCACCTATCTACCCTTTTTTTTTACCGTCCCTATGCATCTACAGATCAACTTTCGTCACTGCCCATGGGTCATTATGAAATGACAGACTTGAAAAAAGTGAACTTAATGCACGGGCGACGATCTTGTCGCATCCGTTAAGGCCGAGTCGGCAGCGACCGAGTGGCCCGGAAGATAACTGGTCGAATGAACCAACTGAAACTGACGGATTTCTTGAGAGAAACGTAAAGGTGACGCACTCTTGTTCGCTGCAACATTCTGAATTATGCACCATATTCCATTTATGCTTGTTTTTCTTTTTGTTTTTAACAAATGCTGGAATTTTCCTAAAGAAATGGCGTGCTTCACGAGTACGACACCTGCTTTACATCTCCATCGTGTTTAACCTATATTGTGCGGACAGCCTCGTTTTTCTCGCTAATCGCGATCGACCTGGATGTTCTCAAATGGCTTAATATACAATTTAACCATTAAAACAATAAATAAAAAATGTTAAAATTTTTCGATGAAAATGAGCATTTTTTTAATAATGAATTCGGGTGAACCCACGAACGGGTAATCCAGTCAGTCAAATTTTGTATTGTGGTCATGGTGCAAGTCTCCCTTGCTAGTCTGATCAATGAAATTGAAATTAAACTGGTCTGAAACTGCAGTTTTATCTTCAGTTTGACGGACTCCCGTTAGCAGAGATTAAGTGAAAATGGTATTAAGCTAAACTGAGACCAAAACGATAACTGAACTGAATGACATGAAATTAAATAACGTGAGAATGTGTGAAAAGGACCGGAACCCTTCAAAAACTAGGCCCGAATGCACGAAATTCATTTAGGGGAGATTAAGAGGCCTTTAAGCTAAAGAGCTCTTTTTTCAACATTGGAGTCCATGTTTTTTTCTTAAAGGATCGTTAATTTCAGCATTCGGGCCCTAATATTTACAAATACTGGGTGGTGCATAAGAAAGGCGCCAAGATTTTTGCGTCTATTTCTGAACTTCCAGATGAAGCAGAGGCGTACAAATCATACCCCACATGCATCCAACTTTCCTCTGGAACCCTGAAAACCATGGATTTCTTGCTACGACATTACACCCACGGCGGCTTTTCGACTAAAACACCTCGAAAAGTTTCACATCACGCATCTTACTCGAAACGATGTCCAATGGGACCTCCTTTGGCATTGCATACGGCATGTAATATTGCTCTCCATTAAGTAATGGGCTTGTTGGTCTCCACGGTGATTTCATTCCAGGCATGTTGAATGTTAGCTCCATGTTGGAGCGATCCATTTTAGATCACTCGACTCACCAGTCAAGATCACCTTTTAGCATCAAGAGAGACGTCTGCTTCACGTCATACCGTGCTTGTGCAGTAACTGTGCGTGATGTGGACAATTTTTGGATATCATAGTCGGATAGGTGCAGGAAGTGTACTCTAATAGATAAAAATGTATATATTTCATGGAGGCGAGAGGAAAGATAGATGTATACGTAGTATAATTTCTACGCCTCCGCTTCATCTATTAGATGAGAAATGAGCGCAAAAATCTCAGCGCGTTTTTTATGCACCACCCAATATATCAAGATCAAGGAGAGCTGACAGCTATGCATGCTAAGAAAGATAAATCTGGCCGAAGATGAGACCATCCTTCATCAAGATCATGGCGTTCCTACGTTGGTTCAACGGGTAATATCGAAGGGTTTTTACCGTAAGTTCCTTTACTCGTGAATTATTTTTAAATAATCCTGAAAACTGGACGATGTTAAAAATATTAGTGTCATCTGTCCACTTAGAGGTTACTCACCTAAATTCATTTATGAAGGGTAATATTAGCCATCACTCAAACTGAAAGAAGTTGATTATCGAAGTCGGTGGAATGATCTCAAGCACATATACACCTTGAACGAGGATTAGTTCACTGCCCATCTACTTCATTTGAGAGCAAGTTGTTCGATATTCTGCTGTGGCGGAGGAGGAGGGGGAGAGTCCCGATCTGCCCTACCTTTCGAGTTCGTTCCTAGAGAGACCAATATTGGATCAATGTTGTGGGCTTCTCGAAACAAATCTAGCTCGTGACGCAAAATGGATTACTTTTGTCAGTAGGACTTCCCAACATCCTGTGTATCGATGAGTACATGTGACGCTCGGAAATCACGAAAAACTACAAATAGGCAATTTGATTGTAGTTTTTTTTGTTCGGTCCGATTGACTTTCCGTTTTGCTGTCGTTAGCGACATTTTTTGCATGCATGGCAGCATGGGGGTCATGATACGTTGCGAGAATACCCCAGAATCACCCATCGTAGTGTTCAGGAGGCGCTCAATCTGAGGTGTGTGCCGGGGTGAAGTGAAAAAATTGTTGAGCCTACTAGAAAAGAAAAACTTTCTAGCTTAAATCTAGGATATTCTGATTTTAATTGCAATCCAAGGTACTCTGAATGCCAATTAGCGCTCCTCCGCTTTTCGATAAACAGTAACAATTGTAACCGCCCCCAACGCGGTTATTTTAATCTGGTCAAGTATGTTGAGCAGTGCGACGTAAAGAAAAGAAGAAAAAAATTGGAATCGTGATGAGGTGCTTGGGTTCGGTGCCCACTCGGCGGCCTGTACTCCCGCCGGCGGCCATTAGAATGAGCCATGGAGCCAATCCTGCTTATTAGAGGCTCTTACCGAAGCAATCAGAATCCGGAGCTGTTGGAAAACATGCCATGTAGTCCATTGGTAAGAAACTTAGGATTTTATATTCCCTTATATAACGAATCTAACCACGAGCACCGTGAAAGAACGAGATAACGTGCAATATGTTTCCGTGCTGGTATCCAATAAATAAATCATATCATCCCGGAGAGCCGATTCCCCAGAGACGATGTCTCGATCTCCACTGGGAAATGGAGACGCATTTTATGACGACCGCATCTTCATACTTGGGACGGTAGTAAAAAGTTAACGATTTTCGGGTCGAATTCGTGTTCGGAGCGACTCAATGCGGTTTACAATGGCACCAGTTATTGAGGTTAATTATTTTGAACCTTATTGTGAACCAGTAGGTGCCTCTGGCGAACGACTGCCTTGGAGTGCATCATGTGTTCGTAGCAAGAGAATACTCATGGACCAGGATGGGTCTGGCCGCGTTACGCGTTTTCGCCTTTTTAAATGTGTGGTACCGTCTTGCCTCAGAGCAGTTCATGTTCCTCACACCAGAGAGCGAGCCTCGAGCTGGAATGACCAGCTGCATGTGATGAATCCCATTCGCTCCATGGCAACATAGCAACTCCAACATAAGTCGTATATGTCTCCTTTCATGCCCTGGAGGCTAGTATCTCGAGAAAAGCTGTACGGTTGTTGGTGTACTTACAAAATTCCGCATGCTCATGAGCGTCAAAGTACTAAGTCAAGCGATTCTTTATTATCACTTCCAGTTCGAGATCCCTTGAGTCATATTTTAATTCTCATCGCTGGAAGCATAGCAAGCAGCCAGATGAAAGCCAATATCCCTTCCAAAAAAAAAAACAGACAAAAAACAAACAGCGGCGGAGGCAAGGAAAGGAGATGGCGTTCGCCCGAACAGATCCCGGGCCCCAAGGCTGTCTGGCTCTTCTTGGCTCCAGTCCCACAACATTCCTTATGACCCTGTCTCATTCCCTCCATCTTGCTAGGACAGAAATTCGATCATGGGAAGGCCATTTATAGCTCTGCCTAGAATGGGGATCAGTTTTCCCGGCGATCTGCTCTTTCCCAGCCAGGGATATCCCATTGCCTTTTTTTTATTGTATTATTGTCGAATGGTATATCATAGTCCATCCAAGGATTTGATAGAGAAATGGCGCCAGAGCATATATATCAGTGTCATTTCTGCAGCCATATTTGCACAAATGTCATCTCTTAACTTTTTGGATGAAGTGTACAAAAGAATAGCTTATTCTCTCAGCTCTGCAAAGCTACCACTGACATCATGAACATGCCGACATTTCTCTCCAATTCGCCTTGGCATCCTTCTGATAGTTTTTTTTTTGCCTGGCACAATGAAATCCCGTAACTGTTTCAGTGCCGTCGGGCCGATGGCCAGTTGGTGCCATCGGCCCTATCGGCCCGACGGCACTAAAACAGTTTGCGGTCGTAGACAAGGTATGGGAACTTTAAGCTACCGGGTATCAATTGCCATAGAAAAAAAAACATGGGAACTTTCGGGATTTCTGCCAAGCTGGAAATCGTACCAGACGAATTTCCGGTGTAAATAACTGGGGGATTAAAGCCCCAAGTTCTGAGAAAGTCGATCGTGAGGGAATGTAGCAAGACTTGCATTTGCCAGTAGTATAAATTAAGTTGCGATATACTTTATTCACAGTCAAAGCAATAGCACTCTGAAAAGAAGCATACATGCACAAAAATAGCAATCCTCATACAAGACCATGAGAGATATTTCCGTAGAGAATAGAACTGAATTTTGAGCAAGTATGTATTCAGGTGCCCAGGCACAAGTGCTCCAATGCCCCAATAGAAATTCTATGAAGGCATTCTTTGAATGTATATGTGCTTTATAGAAAATAATATTTACATTAATAAATAATTCTAAATAAACCTCTATACTGTAGAAAGAACTAAGACATCTCTATAACTTATAGGTTTTT